GATCTATTTTTCATCCTTTTAATTTTACATAAGACATCATTTGGTGAAAAATGTCCTAACGGTATAGAATGAATGGGTTGTTTTACGAAATTGTTAATTAAATTATTTTGGGAAATATTTCGAGCGCTAAAAATGCTACTTAGATGATCAGCAAATGCCTCCGCTTTTTCTTCGTTGCTTTTTGCCCAAATGAAACCGTTTTGGTTAGTTATTTTCAGAGGAGGGTTTTGTAGTAGGGGTTTACTTTTGTTCTTGATTGGTTTCCATATGGAATTATCGTACCTATTTAGTTGCAATAAATACGACCTGAATGTACAATTCTTCCATTCTTTCATTTTTTTCCTCAGCGTGTTATTGAGATGATTAAGGGATGTCTTATCCGTAGGTAGATGAGAATGTTGCCAGGTACGTCTTGCTCTTCGTTTCTGTGCAATTAGCTTCTTAATCTCTTGTGGAATTATTAGATTATCATTTCTTGGAATAATATTCGGGGTTATCTGCTTGGTTGTTTCACGTACAATCTCAGAAAAATATTCTATTTTATTCTCTATATCAATTGCGCTTGTAGGCCTAGATTTTGGAAATAATTTTGAATCAAGTATGGATTTAAATTGAGTCCAGTTAGAAAGTTTGTTGTGTAGAATATGATTATTGATAACTGGAGTAGGAAATGTGCTAAACGTCACAAGTATTGGAGAATGATCTGAAGAGAGATCGTAACTAGATTCATTATTAAGATTTGAATGATCGATACCTTTTACAATAAAAAAATCTAAAAGGTCTGGAACTTTAGTAGGGTCAGAAGGCCAAAATGTTGGACTGCAAGTTGAAATAAAGGAGAGGTTATTTTGCCCGATGGCTGCATGAAATATCTTACCTTTGGCTGTAGTCAGTCTAGAACCCCAGGCAATATGTTTACAATTAAAGTCACCACCAATGATAAATTTATTACCTAATTGAGAGAAAAATGAAGAAAACTGAGCACAAGAAATTTTGAATCTTGGTGGACAATAAACTAGGAATTTTATGATTTTGGTCTGTAAATTTTATTAGAAACATTCCTGTGTAAGTACGTACTAGTGAAATATTTCTCTACAGGAAAATTAATAATCCTTTTTTAAAGATGTCAAATACGGATATCGATCAGATGGATTTTGAATGCTCCTCAATCAAAACGAAAACGGTCTAACAAGTGTAAGAGGTCTAATACAGATATTGTTGAGCAAGATTCTTTACAGCAGAATAATGACCAATTTCTCAAAACGATTTTAATCAAGATAAAGCAAGGATTCAGAATGGATTGAAGTTAGAAACAAAAAATTCAAAAAAAAAGGTAAATGAAGAAGTAACATGCAAGATAATCTTTAAATTCAAATTACTGGCTGAACCCAACTCCCACCAGCAATATATATGAAGTTTTAGCTAATCATAACACCGCAGACTCAAGTGATAAATGCAGTCCAGTTAACAGTCCGCCGCCAATTTTTATACAGAAGGTACGTAATATCAAACCGTTAGCTCAACTTTTAGAATGCAAAGCAAAAAATCTTTATCATATAAAAGTTATAGACGGAACTAAAGTTAGAGTTTATCTTGATAATGCTAAACTTTACAATGAAATTCTTAAAATTTTAAAGAAAGAGGTATTCAAATGCATTCTTTCCAGGAGAAATGTCAAAGAACGTTCAAAATAGTGGTTAAAAACCTACATTTCAGCACGGACACAGTTATGCTCAAAGATGAAACCCAACAGTTAGGTCACGGAGTTGCTCGTATTGACAACATAAAAAGCAGAATCTCAAAGTTCCCTGTGATGTTTTTAATTGAGCTTGAACAACAACCTAATAATAAACAATTTTATAAAATTGATTTTTTATATGAAACTAAATTGGAAATAAAGGCAAATAGGTTCTCTAGAGTAATTGTTCAATGCACTCGCTGCCAATGGTATGGTCATACGAAAAATTATTGCCACCGCACTCCCAGTCTGGGGGTGCGCCCCAGATGCGTTAAATGCACTCAAAATCACTTGATAGAAAAATGCAAGTGGGCAAATAAGGTCGACCAAGTGAAATGTGTTCTTTGTGATGAAAATCACCCTGCTAACTATAAAGGCTGTCACATCTATAAAGAAAACATTGAAAAAAAAAAACTCATTACGTCAGAAAACAACTAATATTCAAAATTTGAATCCAAATGCTACTTTAAGACCAGATGTAACTTACTCGAATATTACTAGAAACAACACAACCTTACCTACTGACACAACGAACTCAATAAACAATAGTAACTTTGAAAACAATACTAACAACAAATTAAGTCTTTAGGACTTAACAGAACTTAAAAATATGATTAAAACATTGACAGAACAAATGAGCATAATTTAGTAACATTTAGCATAATTTAGTAATTTAATAACAATAATTTTAACTAACAAAAAATAATTATGTCTATGCAACTAAACTAACAAAATTTGCATATGGAACTCGAACGGCTTGAGCAATCATGTTCATGAACTCAAGCATTTTTTAACTATCAACGACGTAGACATTATGCTAATTTCCGAGACGCATTTTACCGAGACAAATCACAACATTCGTTTTTCAAATTATCACACATATACCACAAATCACCCGGACGACAGACCTCACGGTGGCACTGCTATTATCATCAAGTCTAACATCAAACATTACGAGACAGAACTTTTTTATACTGACTATATACAATCGACAAAAGTTTCAATTTACACTAATTACAACAGGTAAAATATCTACTTATGAAAAAATTAAGAAAAATTTGGCAAATAACTAGATCGCCGGTAGATAAAAGAAAATTTAACAGTGCTTGCAGAGTCCTGAAAAATTTAATAATTAATTAAAAAAATTATTCTTTTGAAATTTACTTACATAATCTTTCTGCAAGTAGTGAAACAAATTATTCTCTTTGGAAAGCAATAAAAAAATTAAAAAAAAAACAATTGTACCAATTCCTCCATTAAAAAAACAGACGGATCATGGGCAAGAAGTCCAGAAGAAAAAATTGATGCCTTCGCCGAACACCTGCGCTTCACATTTCAGCCATTTTCAGGTAAATGTAACTACAATGATGAACAATTCATTTATGATTTTCTTCGGGACCCGCCGTCGCTAGTAACTCATAATATTAATCTTTTTGCTGTGGTTGAAGTAAGTCAAGAAATTGCAAAAGTCTAGAAAATGTTAAAAGAACTTCCAAGAAAAGCTATTAGAATGCTCACAATAATATAGGGGAAAGTCCCGTAACGCCGGACGGCTTTTAAAGCCGGACACTCTATTTAACCCTTATATTATTTAGGCGAGTATAAATCTTTTTATTCAAAAATACAAGTGAAAATAGCGCGGGGGGCACACAGGTGCAGAATCACGCGCCAAGACTCACCTGTGACGCACACGGCCACGGCGGGAGCAACCCTTTTGTTGTTTTAGGCGCAAAAACACGGCGTCACCTAAATATCAATGGAAGTAATTCTAGTGTGTTTATGCATTTATCTTTTAGTGGCATTCAAAAATAAAAGTAGTACTTAATTGTTAATTAAAATACCGTAAAATGGTAGAATATTATTAGATATTTTAAACAATTTTAGCAGGTACCATCAAATGAACAAAATTGTCTGTCCCTTAGCACCGGACACTAAGTCGTCCCTTAGCGCCGGAAGTAAACATATTGATATTTCTTGTGAGAATGGACGTAATTTATTCGAATTATTTAATTTTTTTCTGTATGAGTGCTAACGGTCACTACATACCCCCATTTTTCGTATTTTCTAATCAAATAATGAAAATCTTATGATGAATGCTCCAGCTGAGAGCATCGGTGTGACCCAGCCAAAAGGGTGGATAATTAGTGATTTTTTTGGAATATTTAGGAATATTCGTCAAACACAAATGTGCAGATATTCCAGGGTGTAGAGGTGCCTACATATGGGTTATTTTGAAAGGTCCGGTACTAGGTGCCACTTCGTAAAATCACATTTTTTGTTACCAAAGTTTGAGTATTAATTATGGTTTAGCAAATATTGCGTTTTTGTTAATTTAGTTTGATTTCTAACTTTGTTACATGACATAAGTCATAATTTAATAAACATTTCGTAAAATATTTTTTGATTTATTAATAAATAACCTTAGGTGTCCGGCACTCGGGGACTTCCCCCTACAATTCTATACTGAGAATGAAAACTTTTCCACAGTCTTGGGAAAGAGCAAAAATAATCCTTATAGTCAAACCAGAGGCTCCTCATCTATTATCTTCTTACAGGCTTATTAGTTTATTGTCTTGCATATCCAAAATATTTGAAAAGCTAATCCTTCAACGGATTAAAATAACCCTACAAGAACAAAATTATATTCCGAATTATCAATTTGGGTTTCGAGATTCAACAATTGAGCAAATTCATTGAATAATAGGTAAACATAAATAATATTGCACTACATAAAAAAGTACTGTTCTGCGGCTTTTTTTGATCTCAAGCAGGCATTTGAAAAGGTCTGGCATAATGTATAAAGTTAAGAGATGTTTACCAGATACTATATTTCCATTAATAAAATCATATTTACAAAATAGAAATTTTTTCGTCAACATCGCCGATACGGATTCAAATATTACAGAAATAAATTCTGAAGTGTCTCAAGGGAAAAAATTATGTTCGTAAAAACGAGTAATAAACATTATAAATTAAAGTTTTGAAAACGAACATGTGGCGCAAAATGATTTGTAACAGGCAGGAAATTCCAATCATGCTGAACTTTGAATTTACAAATTCTAAGAATTTATAAAAATGTACTTCTAGCTCTGCGCAGGTCTTTAAGAATTTGTAAAAGCTTAAAATAGAATACCGCGTCATATTGATACGTTGTATAATACCATGGCGATTTGCCCAATTCTGCTGCATGTAGTTTGTATACACAATTGTAGTATTATTAGGATCTTAGTGGTTAGTTTCGCACGCGCGCGGCTCTCGGTCAGTGGGCTTGTGATTTTTTTTTTTAAAGTGAAAAAATGTCACCCAAATGTCCGGTTGCCACTTTGGGCGAATGTGCGATAACAGAGCTCGCGGAAGGTCTAATGCGCGCGTTGGCTTCCGCCAATGACGAATTAGAAGCTACATTGTGTTTGATCGATTTGTGTTCATATTTCGAGAAATGCAATGCCACCACGGATGTGTATCAGGACCTTTTACAAGCAATACTATGTACCGATTACTTAAATCCCTCCTGTCGTTTTTTGTCGATGCAATTGCTGCTAAAAGAAACTGTCACCTTTTTGGCAACAGGAATGTTTCCCGTCTCGTATTACGAACGCATTCTTCAAGTAATTTCTGTTCAAGGTGCCGGTCTTAAAACACTCAACATGAAGGGTGTATGGGTTAAAGAAGAAAATATGTACTATTTATTCGATATTGTGAGAAAACTGAAGAACTTAAATCGCTTAACCATACCCTATATAGCAAATGATGAATTACTTCATCATATAGGGGAAAGTTGCGCAAACTTGAAATTTTTAGATATATCAGGAGAAACTGATATCACAGAAATCGGTATACAATCGCTTTATACGGGAATAACGAGAGAAACATTGACTGTGGTCGACATTGGCATTCTAGGAGAAGAGAACATTTGCCACACTGACATAGCTGAATTGATATATAATCTGCCTAATCTGATTAATTTAGTCACATATTCTTTCGTCGGTAAAGCGATCTACCACATTTACACACGAAAATCGAAACATTTTCGATCAAAATTGAACTATATACATGACACAGAAACAGATCTTCGTACAATGAATGCGATTTTGGAAATCTGCCCAGATATCGATTGCCTCTACCTGGACAACCCAGGGCAGGGAGTTGTGTCAAAAATTGATCAACTGAAATTAACAAAACTGAAGCTTCACAATTTTCGTTGCATGGATCTTCATTTATTACTTCAAAGTTGCGGGGAAACATTGGTACATTTATCTGTGATTCAAGGTCGAGGAACAATAGATTTTAGTAAATTGGCTGACCATTGCCCTAGCTTGACTGGTTTAGAAGTATATATGATGGACAGTTTGGTGAAATCAGAAGAAATCAAATTTCTTAATTTGCAAAATTTAGAAATTTTGCATAGTAAAGTTTCAAATTCAATTCTCTCTTATCTGATGACACACGCGCCAAAGCTTAAGCGATTATCAGTTGGAGATGTCAATTTCACAGATGATGATATTTTCAGGTGATTATTTAAACTTTGAAAACATAATTAGAGATGTCATTGTGACAGTTCTTTTATATATATCACAAACTATATTCTTCAACCTATATTAGATTATAATAATTGTTAAAAAATTGTGAACAATTCGCGTGCGTTCACGAAAGTTTTTTGTGGATATTTCACGTCCATTGTGAAACATATTAAGCATTGAAAAAGTTTGACAAATCTCGTCTTGGCACTATTATAATTTGTTATATGCTTAGTATCAAAAATATTATTCGAACTAATTGTAGCATTTGCATAAGTCTAATAAAACTTGATATATATACCATACCGTAGGTTGTACATTTTTCTCTCTATCTAAAAAAACCCCATATGTGGTGTACATATTTCGGCTTGTTTTTGAATCTTGCTTAGTTTTACCCAACACAAAAAATTTCAATCTGAAAATAATATTTTTGTTTGTGTTGACAAGAAATAGTATCGCAGTGTTATTGTGATTATTATTATTATTTTCAGTTAACTAGAAACTTTCCAATTTACATTGAACTGAATATGACATAAGATTATATATCGAAACGTATGGAAATAATGAAAATTTTATATATTTTTACAATTTTTAATTGATATATTGCCCTGAAGATTTAATCTCACATATTTCAACATCAAAATTATTAAAATATTTTAACTATACCTATTTGATATAGGGCAGGATAGTGGACAAATGTCTTATTTTGAATATTTGTAAATTTTATAATTTTATATAAACCAAACCAACTACATAACAACAAATAAAACATATCAAACAAACTAACGAGCTAGGCTTAATAAAATTTTTCAGCTGATTTATTATTGTAGAAATATATCTTTTTTGCTATTTTTGTAAAATATGACACCTGGCTCATTTTTAATTTATAAGCGGTGCAAAATGGTAAAGCCATTAGCATAAAGTTCTATTTTTTAACTTCTCGTAGGGTAAGTTATTGTAATCCTCCAAAAAACGAAATTAAAAGTTTTTGCATATCTTTACGTTTCTGAACATTTTGAATACCTTAGAAAAAAAAGATGTCTGCGTGTGTGGATACAATTTTTCGTCGACAATTTTTGTCATAGGCAGGTCCAGGCGTTTCGGAGATACAAAGCTAAAAGTGCAAAAAATTGCAGTTTTTGCGAGAACTAAGCATTCGATTTGATTGATTCAAAAAACTTTCTGCTTTTGTTGATAACGTTGACGATTGCTTTTGGAGAAACAATTTTTTTTATTACATTTTTTTTTGAATTTTCAAACAAAAAATGCAAAGGCAAGTATAGAGATTTCAGAGTTTGATTATAAAAAGTGAAAAAAATGCAGCCAAAAATGATCATTAGACATATGCATATCAAATTATCAGATATTTTATAGAAATTTTAATAATAGGTAGGCATAAATTTTGTTTACATTTCTATGAGCTCCGTACCAATGTTTACCCATTATTCTCTAAAACAGTCACGCAGCACAATTGCTTCAAAAAAAAAGTATAAAACTAGTGGGGTGTGTGGCATCCTGCCTTAAGGCAAATTGCTGGTCTAATATTTATAAAAATTATATAAATTGAATAGCAAAGTTGAAATTATTTGTTTAAAGTATATTAGAACTTTAGTCAAAATTAAAAATAAAATCTGATTTATTTTCGATATACAAAAAAAATTGATAAAAAAAAATATTTTGAAACAATTTTTTTTTCCAAAGTCAATTATTTTGTTAGAACAAGCAGAAAGTTCTTTGAATTATTTAAATCGGACGCTTAGTTCTCTCAAAAACTGCCATTTTTTTAACATTTAGCTTTGTATCTTTGAAATGGCTGGGCCTACCTTTGCCAAAATCTAATAACCACTTTGCCCAATCATTACTAATTGAATGTTTTTTAGATCATTCAAATCGAATACTCCGTTCTCTTAAAAACTCGATTTCTACCTCTATTCTAGCTCATCTCCCTTTCAATAGGAATCGAATGTTTTTTGAACTATTCAAATCGGTTGATCCGTGCGCCCGAAAACGTGACTGGAAATGTAAAAATTTTCAATTTCGATTTTTGGACGATTACAATAACTTACCCTACGGGAAGTTAAAAAATTCGAAATACAAAAATAAATTTTCAAATTTTTCCAAAAATTTTAAAATTCTCAAAAATCTATTTTTTTTTAAGTTTTCAAAAAATTTTAAAGGTTGTTTTAAAAAATTTAATTTTCCGTACGGAAAGTTCTAGCAATTTGCCTTTGTTTATTTTATGATATCAACATCGCCCGATTTGAGACGATGGCTAGTTGCACATCTTATATGCCAACGATTTCCAACCTTTGGCGCCCAAGAGGGGGCCCGAAGCTGTTTCAAAAATATTATATTTAAATGCTAGGTAAGTGTCAAAAACAAATCAGCAAGATACGTGCAAGTAATCCACAATTTTTGCTGCAATTTTGTCAGGACAAATCTACTACTTTATTATTGTGAAGCACGTTGGCTTTCACGTAATAAAGTACTTCAAAGAGTGTTTGAGCTCAAAAAAATGATATATTTCTTGCTGATAACAAAAGAGATGAAGCGGCCTTGTTTTAGAACACGATGCAAAATTTGCGTATTTAGTTGGTATTTTTCAACGACTAAGCGATTTAAATAAACCAATGCAAGGATCTCAAATTCATGCTTTTGTTCAGAAAGACATGATTACGGCTTTTATATGAAAAAGTTAGAATTGTGGAAGCTACTATCAAAACTGATAACTTTAACTTGTTTCCCACTTTTCAAATTACTTGTGTTTCTGATGAAATAGAAGTAAGTAAAGATCTTATTATCAATCACATGACTAGTCTACGGAAGCAATTTTCGCATTACTTTAAACATCTAGATATGTCCAAATACGAAAGAATTAGAAATCCATTTGTCATTGAGAAACATGATGATTTTGGTCATTCAACAGCAGAGCAGTAAATGATAATTGATTTATCTAGTGATAGCACATCAGGTAGCTTTGATGTCAAATTTCCACTTGGGGTTATAGATCACAATATAATTCCAAGAGGAAATCGTCCTTCGTGGACGTAGCTGCAACATTCAATCATATGTTAACTATTAGACGTAAGAGCTAATATCAAAAATATCCCACACTTAAGAGAATAGTTAATTGATGGATTGCTTCTCATGAAATACATAAGTAGTTATGAGTCCTTAACAAACAAACAGATTATTGGTTACGAGTAAAGGACGATTTTTCTACTTCGACAAATAATGCTTTACAAATTTTATTACCATTTGTGACATCTTACTTATGTGTAACAGGTTTTTCTGGAGAGGCAGTATTAAAAACAAAGTGCCGATCTCGCTTAGTGATAGAAAAGCGACTGAGAACAGCGATTTTTGCAATGGTGCCGCGGTTTAAGAAAATTTGTGCTAATTTAAATTTTCATTAAATTTGAAATTATTTTTTCTTATAATAAACAGTTACGTTTGTACGTATATTTTTTATAATACTGCGTATCATTTGGCATAATTTCAGTATATTTCAAGTATATTTAAAATAAATTGTTAGAAAAATTAGGGGAGGCGCAATATTTTTTTCTTTCGAAAGGGGGACGCAAGAAAGGAAAGGTTGGAAACTACTGTCTTATGCCCTATACTTTAACACGGTATTGCTGAAAAATAACACATTTCCTTGATTTTGAGATAATAGTGCGCTACGCTCTACCCTAAGAAAGCAGCCATTTCGTTAAATTAGACAATTAAATATATATTAACAACTAGTGGGACGCATGGCATCGTGCCTTAAGGCAAATTGTTTAAAAGATTAACATTTTGAAAAAAAAAATACTGTGAAAAAATTAGATTTTTGGAAACTATAATTTTTAACAAAAATTTACTTTTTTTTGAAAAAAAAAAGAATTTTTGAAGAAAAATTTATTTTGATATATTTTGGAAATTCAGAACATTTTTTCTAAGCAATCGTACTGTTTTAGCATAGATATCGAAGCGCGTAAGCGCCGCGTCGCCGTCTAACGGATAAATATTGGTACGGAAATGTAAACAAAATTTATGCTTATTGTTAAAATCTCTATAAAATATCTGATAATTTGATGTGCATATGTCTAATAATCATTTTTGACCGCCAAATGGCATTTTTTTTACTTTTTTTTACTAGATCTCCGAAACCGCTAGAATTACCTTCATGAAAATTTGATCAGTTCTTCATCGTGTTAATACAAGTAAAATGATTTTTAAATTATTCACATCGGACGCTCCGTCCTCTTAAAACTGAGTTTCCGTTTTTAGCACTTTTTGCCCCATATCTTCGGAACGGCTAGACCTGCCTTCGCCAAAAACTAATCAGCACGTCTTCTTACCAATACGAATCGAATGTTTTTTGAATTATTCAAATTGCTTCATCCGTGTTCCAGAAATCGTCGACGAAAATTTGTATCCGAACCCACACACATGCACGCGCACACACACACATACATCCATTTTATCATTCACCATGAGTTCATATCAAGAAAAACATACTGGTAATAATGAATTTAAAACATTGCTTATACTAATTGACAATTATACAGAGAGAAAAATAACTGAAGAAGCAGTTATAAACTGCATAAGCTAGTATATTGTTACGTTGCACTGATTCGAAATACGTTGTACACAATTTAATACTTTCTCTCATTGCCAATATATTTGGTATAATTCTGCCCAGAACTTCCGTAGAGCGTTCTCTCAAATATTGTTTAAACCATTGAGCATGCGAAACCAAAATTGTTTTCGGTGAATCTTCAAATGTTATTATGAGCTATTTGCATTTGCGTCAGCAATATTGCTGGTATTTTCACCAGCAATTTTCATTGAACCGTTGTAGGTTTTTGCAGCTCTCGTAAAATCTTGTTGAGCTTTGTTTCTAGTTCTGTTATACATTATATATTCTCGGTTGATACTTTTAAAGAAGCTTCAGCAGTCATTTATTGTAAATTAGTAGAAGGTCCAGCAGTTTTTAGTTGTTATTCAGCGCCTAGCGCCTAGCGCCTGATATTCTTTTTTCGATGTTATTGGTTTTGCGACATTAAATCATCAAATAAATTACTCTTACTACGTGTTCTAAAAATTAGAATTAACTGATTCGTCAAACGGTGAATATAACCCATTACCAATAAGAAATGTCCACTTGCTCACTAAATGCGTTTTAAGTGTTAGACATTTAACGCATTCCTTTGCAAGTCAAATTATAAGTATAACTACAATAAAACTTTTAAAATTAAAATATGTTTAATAAAATTATGATTTATGATTTTATATTTATGTATATTTTAATATCTATGCTTACTAATTTTAGGATATTCAATAACAACGAATTTCCTTACTTAGAAGATTTGTGGTTTCTGAATGCATCATATCTATCAACAGCCAGTGCCGAGGTGAGTTCTATGAAAATTTTATTTTGTTTATAATTAAAGAAGTATAGTTTTTTTTATTTATTTTGACTTCTGATTTACATAGTATAGTTATAAAATTAAAATTAAATCGCTTAAAATATTTTTAATTATTTGATAGTAATTGTCATAAAAATATATGTTATGATAAATCCTATCAAAATAGATTGATATTAATAAAATAGACGCAACTAGTAGAAACTACCTTTTCCAATAGCTAAATACTTTCTAAAGCTGAATAAGTTATGTTTTAACCAAAAGTTATGAATCAATTATCGAAAGATGATAATATTGAATTGTGAAATAGCAATATGTTAATTAACTTTTAATTTTGAAATAAAATGTAAGTTTTTTTCCGTTTAATGTTTCCAAGCACTATTCGTTTTTGTCGAGTACTTCTTTTGCAGTTGGGCTCTGATCCAAATTCGTTTGGATCCAAACATTAACTATTTTTGTTGATCACATGTACAGAAGTGATGTATTTGAATAAAAGATTTTTTTCTAAATGATTCCAAATCTGTGAGAAATTATCATTAGGTGTAAGTGGCATTTTGCCTTAAGTTGCATGAACTTTCCGATATGCGTTATTTACACATTGACTTAATCAAGCAAAATTAAGATTTAGCAATTTGAATAAATTTATTTCGAAAATAAAATTTTTGCTTTCACTAATTACCAATTCCAATTGATATATCACAAATACATTTATAATATCTGTAATTATATAAGTTATAATTACAAGGCGCACATATGAGATTGTATGCCCTGAAAGCGCCTATTATTCCAAATTTTAATATTCGTATAATTCAACCAATTTTCATAGGACTCTTTAGTGCATGAACATTTATTATTTATCGCCATTTCATTAAAGACGTCGAAATATTGTTTTTAAGATATAAAATTATTTCGTGAAATATTAAGTATCTGATATAGGAAAATACTGGCACGATTACCGATATCATGTACGGAGTTTATGATTTTATTAACTTCTCGTGGGGTATAAGCTTACCGTTGGGTAAGTTAAAGCAATCGCAAAAAAATCTAATTTAATTTTTTGTATTAATTTCGGATCCGAAGATTTCTAAACATTTTGGCATACTTAAGAAAAAATGGATGTGTGTGTGCGGATACAAATTTTTGTCAACCGATTTGAATAATTCTAGAAACATTCGATTCGTATCAATGGCAGGTAACATTTTTATTACAACTAAAGAAATTTTTAGTCTGCTCGTTAGTTCGGTGACACAAGTATAAAGATTCTATTTAGATAATTATTAATTAATTTCTGTGAACTCAGAATTTTATGTATGTTTGTTTTTTGTGTTCATTTTTCTAGATACTATTTGATTTTGTATTGAATCATTTTTTGAAGAAAAAATCAAATGATATTGTATATGAAATTACACGCGAATATCTCCTATAAATATTTGATGTTTAACACTTTCGGGACGGCACCGATTTCAAAACAATCTACCGGCTGTAAACTTGATTTCATTGTGTATGTTATGCAATTTGTTTGATAAAAATTTGTGGTCATTAAAGGACATACCTTTTTAATATCAATTTATTTTTGATCATTTTATAAAGAATGGTGACGTTCAAAACAATTTCCAAAATGCATAGCTGGTTGATTTTGACATGTTTTACAGTAAAATATTGTTCGCCGCCTTCCTTCTGGTGCTTTTCTGTCAGAACAGACAATACAATCCCTTTTTCTTTTAGAATTTAGAATATGCCACTGATTAGTCAGTATATTTGGTCATTTTTTTGCTGCCATAATGGTTTATTTTTTTTATTATATTGTCTAATAATTCATTTATAAAATATAATGTAAAATAATCTATTGGATGTCTTATATTGCTTGGTATTTGTAGTCGGGGTGTTTGTTGATGTATGTCAAACTCGATTATTGAAGGAAAATCGGCACATTCGCTAATGTCTTGCCGCTATTCATTTATTTTGTCGAACTTCTTCTTTTTGTTGGTTGGATAATATCATCATCACATTCATCAATATCATCGGTGCGAATAGTAATTTCGTAAAATTGGTCTGTATGAATGTCTATTTGAAACTATCTTCACTACTGCTTAATTCACAAAATTTACTAGTCGTTTTGCCATATTTAAAAGTCGTTTTGCCATTTTTAAAAGCGCTCGGTCGTTTTAAATATTAAAAAAAAGAACATATAGCAAAGAAAAGGGCTAAAAATACTACTAAAAAAAATAAAATTATTTTCAAGATACAATACTGTTTATCACTGCTATATGTAATTTATTCAACTTTTCGATGCAAACTGAGTCATTGTTTATAAAATAGCCTGTGCCTCACAGAGTATGTTTGTCCACTGAGGTGGACAGCTGTCCCCAAAGTGTTAAACCTCTAAACTTGTAAATGTAGTTTAATATTATTATAATTGATAAATATGTATTGATGTTGTTATTTTAAATTTGTTCAGATAATGATGGACAGATGCCCCGTCCTTACCGTGCTCGGTCAACTGAGCGGATGGAATGTCACCTATGAAGACTTGGAGCTCATGAGGACAATGATAAGTAGCGCCAACACGAAATTGGCACTGCTACCCACTGGTATACTTCCGTGATTCCATCCAAATTTAGATTGTATAATTATTACAGACTTGTATTACTTCACAATTAGAACACACACACACACACACACACACACACACATATATATATATATATATATATATATATATATATATATAAATACTTGTTAGAAAATTTAGCCATTTAGCCAACAATTGAATCCACAGGCGCGCTTGTTTAAGGTTTTATATATTTGTTAATTATACTGTGTGACAAAAATAGCACTTTTGTTTTTTTACTGAAACTATACTAAATCTACTGAGAACGCTGATTTCAAATGTACTTTCGTTTTTCCTGTCGCTGTTTTTAGTATGGCTCCGCCTTTAAGGGGGTATTCTACTGTAGAGTCATGAATTTCGCCCGGTTTTTGAAGCGCTGTATAAAGGAAACAAATAATATTTTTATTATCGATTTTTTTTCATTTGTTTATTGATATTTTATTATTATATAAAAAAATTATTAAAAAAAAATAATTAAAATTCACAAAGTTATGAGCCGTCAAAGTGGGGGTTCCCAAAAAAAGAGGGTGTCCTGGCGTACATGATTCCAACCCTCCTGGTGATTTGAAACATAAAAAATAGATGGATTCTTAATTATAATAGATGTCGCTATCGTATGAACCTTGGATAAGCTGAAAAAAAAATTTTTGTTCGAATGGCGGCAGTTTGAAAAAAAAATTAGTTTTTTTCATGTTTTTTTAACAATTCCAAATTTTTTAAAAATACTAAATGAAAAGTTATAGTTTTGGGCAAGGTCCATACGATAAAGCGATGTCTAGAGAAGATCCTCTCCAAATTTGAAGTAAATCGGTTCATTAGAACTCGAGATATCCTTACCGCCAGCTCGAAAAAAGTAGTTCCGAGAAAAACGCGTTCAAAGTTTTGAGACAAGTCGGACCCGAACCGAGGCCACGTCACTAGAACGGCTATAACTCAGGAAATAATAATAATTTTGAAAAATCCTTTCAATGACATATTTTTGAATAACTAAACTTTGAAAATATGAAAAAAAAATTTTTTCGATTTTTTCAAAATTCTACAGTAGAATACCCCCTTAAGATTTTGTATCCATGATCCAGATAGTTTTTGATAATCTGTGGTCAAAATGTTTTTGACAAATACCGAGAACCTATATCAAACTGCGTAAAGGCAGCGTATTTCAACTACTTTAAATTGAATTGCGCAACTTAACACATGGGATATGCATGGGTTTTGCATACTATGTGCCAAAATTGCGTAATGTGTTTACTTTAATGTCTAGAAAGAAAAATATATGCCATAATTTTAATTCCCCTATAATTTGGACAACACTCAGAATCGCCACGACGACTGTTTCTTTTGCGTGATAAATATCAATGGAATAAATTCAGGCAATAGAAGCAAATGGTCATACCCCATGACCCCAATGGTTTTGGGGTCTACGACAATCAGCTACACGACCTCTATACATGATGATAAAGATGATCAACTTTCGTAAATTCAATGAATAAAGTCGAGAAATAAACAGAGAGTCAGGCGAGAGAATCTACCATCAGGACTTTGAGAAAGGAATATCAAGAGAGGTGGACTTCCACATGATGGCTAACAAATGTTGAAGTCTGCGACGAAATCAGTCAGACCTTGTCCACACTCGAAAATTACATAAAAAGACCTTTGAAGACATAAAATAAAATATGTGTTATTTTTCATTTTAATTTGAGGTAAAACTAGCACATTGGTATATCCCAAAAACTAAAGCTGTTAGCAAAGTTTTGTTACATTTTTGGAATCAGCGTCTTCAATTTACTAAAAAACTATTATAAATGTTTTACTGTCACGTAATTATTAGGTCGTTTATCAGATTTGCATTAATTTAAATAAAATAAATATGTTTTAAACGAGTTTGTACTATATTTAATAGTCCCACATCAGTTTTTTAACTATCAGTAAATACTGTTCCTTCTTATTTATTGGTAATTTGTTGTCATTTTTTTGGATAATGTTTACATTAATTTCGAAAAAAGTAACAATCAGAAGTTGAATATGTATTGGAAAAATTGTCGCTACTTTTATAAAAAAAATCTTCTAATATTTATGATATAGTATTTTATTCTTATCTTTTTTTTTTCAAATACATGTTAATTCAAATAAATGTTCAAATAAATTCAAATACATGCTAAAAACACAATTTAGAAATTTTAAGTGATTTTATTGAAATGGGTAAATTTCATTTTTATTCAGTCTGGATAAATTTTTTGATAAATTTTTGGGGCGGCCTTTGATTTTTAATATACTTTATTTATTTAATAAAGTTGATGTTACGAACTGATAAAAAAATATAACAATATGTATGAGAACTAATTATTTTTAGTAGACTGTGACTTTCATTATTCACAAGAATATTTATGTGCAAATTAGTTCAATCAAATATTGAACTTACTTTTTTCATTTTGTTGTATTGAGCATAACATGTATATAGAATCTTGTAACTTGTCTTGATAATTTTTGTACCGCTAGAAAAATAAAAAACATCTTTTTTATGTTATTATATATAATTAATATATGATGAATTATAATTATTATATGCCAATGTATATATTGTGATAATTATAAATATGTTGTATATATAATAATGAATGTTTGATTCAATATAAACTTTCTTTGTTAGGAACCATAAATTTGTTAAGTAAAACTAGAGCGCAGTGTAATAATATTTGTGATATTTTTGGATTTGAAATAGTTGGTTAGCGTTGACGTCTCGGATTTAGTTGCAGTAAGTTATATTGGACTTTATGACAATCTTTACAAAATGTTTTTCTTAAATATCTGCTGATATTATTTGATCTGTGCTTTTTGAATTTAAAAAATTGAAATAAAAAACTTTTTATGTTTATAATTTACAGCAATCAAACTATTACATGTTCTATAAGCTGTATTAAGCACTGCTTATTACTAAGAACGACAGTGTTAGTAGGCAATCCAGTGATTGTTCTTACTCTATTTGAGATATAGTTTATTTTTAAACTGAACGCTATTAGAAGACAACTTCACAGTCGCCATTCTAATTGGGATATTTCAGCAATGCCGGACAAGGGCTATTTTCACTTGGACATATTGCTCTCTGTATTTCCAAGTAAAAAAATTGTCACTATTGCTTGACAGCAGGCTTTAAGCCGGTATCTCTGATTCAAGTCCAGTCGATATAATAAAAAATATTTGCCTTCAACAAAAAGTAATCGTTTCTTCAGGCTGTCAACAAAAGCAAATTATTTGAACCAAGTATTCCGTTTTCATTAAAACTGTAATTTTTAGCACTTTTTGCTCCGTTTCTTCCAAACGGGTAAACCTGTTTTTGCCAAAAACTAACCAGCGCGTTTCACTATTTTTTGCAGGGCCGGTTCTACCTTGATTGAATGCATGCAAAAAATACTGGCGCACGTCTTAGGGGGCGCCAAAACGAGATTTGGATATAAAATTTATAATATAGTTCTTTCAATATCATTCAAGAAATATATTCTTTCCTTGCATCTTTTACTAATCTATAAATAATATTTTTAAAATTTCATTAAAAATTTCACTTTAAAACAACAAATGGGAAAGATAAATACATACAATTCGTCCCTTAAAATATCAATTAGGAGAAGTTTACGATGCAATTTCGTATTGCAAACATTGTATTTGCAGCACTCTTTGCTTCGTATCTCCGTAACGGCTAGACCTGCCTTTGCCAAAATCTAATCAGCACATCTCCCTATCAATAGGAGTCGAATGTTTTTTAAACTATTCAAATCGGTTGATCCGTGCGCTCCAAAACGTGGACGAAAAATTATGTCCATACATACACACACATATCAATTTTTTCAAAGGTATGCCAAAATGTTCAGAAACCTTCAAAACGTGAATAAATGTAAAAATTTTCAATTTCGATTTTTGGATGATTACAATAATTTACCCTACGGGAAGTTAATAAAGATGTAAATTCAGTTTAAACTAGTTGGTATTGGTATTTAGCCTTGAAGCAAGTTACATGAACTTCCCGATATGTGTAAATAATCGACTTAATCAATAAAATATAAATTAATTTATGAATAATTAAAAGTATTCCGAGTGGATTTATTATACACAATTGAAAACGAACGAACACGTTAACACGTAGTATTTTCTAAAAGCAAATTTTCAAAAATCAACAATTTTTACAATTGATCCAGTTTCCATAGGACTTTAATGGTTTAGTATGTTCATTAAGATCAAGTACTCTATCGTTATACCAAGTAAATCGTCTAATTTTAATGTTGGCTAACGTCAAAAAAACTACTCATTTTCTCAAACTTTGATGAATTTTTAAAATTCAACTACTTGTCGTAAGGCCGTAATATCACAGTAAGTTCTATAAGACCATGATATATATCGATAAAAAAAATCCATAAAAATCGGCTTAATTTTTTTTTTTCAACAGTTATTTACAAGAAAATGGCTCGGTAGATTTTCACCTAAAACTAATCAGTATCATTACCAACTAATATCTTTTGAATAGTTTTTAATTTTTTAAAATCGATTCGGTAGTTTGAGCTTAAATGTGGACGAAAAGTTTAACACTTTTTTTCAAATTACAAAGCAACGGCTCGGCAAATCGTCTCACAAAACTGACAAATTATAGTCCTCATGAAGATACATCAAATGTCTTTTAAATTTCTGAAATAAGTTCTGGCGTTTCTGAGCAAACGTCGATGAAAGGTCTAATTTTGACAAATGCCAAAAAACCGATACCAATTTTTGCAAACTTTGGCGAATTTTTAAAGCTAAACAAGTTGTCGTAAAGCGGTAATATTTTAGTATGATCTAGAAGACTAAGGTATCTACTGACAAAAAAATAATAAGGAAAATCGTCGAAAATTTTTTTTTTAACACTTTATTACAAGAAAACGGCACGGCCGTTCTGCCCAACCAATATCTTTCGAACGGTTTTTGAATTCAAAATCGATTGAGAATTGCGATTTAAAACGTGGACGAAATTTTTTTCACTTTTCTGCGATTTACAAAGAAACGGCTTGGCTGATCGACGCGCAAAATTGATAAACCCTAATCCTCAACGAGGTATATCGAATGGCTTTTAAATTTTTGAATTCGGTCTAGCCGTTATTGAGAAAACGTCGATTTACGGCAAAAAATCTGTTCACATACACATACACACACACATACACATACATACTTTTTCCAAATTTGGTTTCATTCGATTCAGAATAGCTTGAAACGTCGAGAAAACATAAAATTAGCGAATCGAATTTTTCCATGAAAACATAAACTTCTCCAACGGGAAGTTAAAAAACCATTTTGTAAGAAAAAAATTATTATAATAGTTATTCCGACTCTACTGATGAA